ATGTGTTTTTTGAACCTTAAACCGCATAAACACATTTCATTACACCAAATACACAAAATAATGTTCTTTTTTAGCAGCATCATATGACCCCTTTAAATACTTATGTTTAGGACAGGTAATGTAAGGATAGCATACTCCCCCATTGCTCCAGCCCTCAGATCATGCTACACTACCACATCCTGTCATTTCTGTGATAACTGCTGATGAATGAGCAGTGTAAACAGATTTTAAGCAATCTTCAGCAGCCGCCCCTTCCCACCACACTGCCTTTTGTGTCCAGCAGTTGGAGAAACTAACCACAAGTCTCCTTTTTCAAAGCCCCCCTCTGATGTGGCATCTCAGAACTCTTTCTAACCCCCTTTCTTTCACTCGCTACCCCCAAAGCCACTTGGTTAAAGCTGTAAAAACTTGAATTCTTCATGCAGAATTTCTGTTTATGGCACAAAAGCTGGAAACCACTGCTTTTCAGACATTTTACGAACACATTCAGAAAGATGTAAACTTTCGTGTATTTGTGCACCATGTTCCGTTTCCTTGGCTTTGAGTTAGACTTTGATGACATGGATTTATATATGAGAACCATATGTGGTTTAGTGTTGGAGGAGGGGTGAAGGAATCTAACGCAACTCAACTTGATGAGAACTGAGGGAGTACTGAGGAGAAAAAAGGAAATATTAAAGACAGACAAGGAGGGGAACATATACCTCATGCTTCTGATGTGGCAGTCTGGTCATTAAAGTCATAAGGTGAAGAAAGACCAGTTAACTGTTGCAGGCCTGAGCTAAAGCAGGGGGGTTTCCTGGAGGATGTGACTGGGTCAGAGTGAGGATAGCTGGGTTTGGTGCAGCAGGCAGGGGGAGGGTAAAAAGACTGATTCAGCAGCCCCTGGTGGGGAGTCTTTTCCTGCCCACTTTGGAAGCGTTTACCGTTTAAACAAGGAGGGAAAGAACCAACACTATGAGTTTAGAGAATATTCCAGGTTCTCTAAACTTTAGAATGCACCCCCCCCCCCACACACAC